CGTGCAGCAGAGTTCTGCATAAGCTGCAGGCGGGCAAGGGAAGCCTGGCTAATCCCTACGTACAAGGAGTTGCAGTAATCAAGACGGGTAGTGATAAAAGCATGGATTAATTTTTCCAGGTCAGGTCTTGATAAAATGGGCTTCACCTTCGCTATTTGGCGTAGCTGATAAAAACTTTTTTGTACCACCCCGCTGATCTGCTTGTCAAATTTAAAATCAGGGTCAAATTTAACTCCCAGATTAGTGACGACCTCTTTAAGGTAGGGTGAGAGGGAGCCTAGGTCGAAAACCCTTAAAACAGGCAGAAAAAAGAGAAAACTAAAAAAAAGAAAAAGAAGAGTATTTCTGAAAACAAAAAAAACAACAACAAAAAAACACCCTAAGAAAACTAAAAAACAAAAAAGAAATATTTCTGATTCTTGGGGTTAAGAAAGCCTGAGAAGTGGAAGAAGTAACTTCCCCGAAGTAAGGAAGTACTTAAAAAAAAAAAACTCTTCAAAAAGAAATCTCCAAAAACAAAAATAAATTAAGACAACTGATGAAAAAACAAAAAAGAAAAAAAAAACATCAACATGGGAAAAAAAAAAAAATTCTAAAAAAAAAAAAAAAAAAAAACTACTGGAAAGAAAATTAAAAAACAACAAACAAAAGCACCCATAACCCGGTGTTTTTCACACAAAAGATAAAATAAACCTTGCAGTTTTCCGTCCCATGGGAGGGTTTTTATCCCCCTTCTCGAGCTACCACCTTACCGTGGTGGAGGGGTTTGTGTGTCCCAATGAGAGTTAATTCTGATTTACTCTTGCTGTTGTCAAAAAGTGCTAAAATTTCTCTGAATTTCGCATGCTAAGTAGGCCCATGTCAGTTTTAATCCTTGCAGGACTCTTGTTTTCACTTTTCATCAGCAGAGGAAAAGCTTTTGGATAACTGATTAATATAGAGTTCAGGGGAAAGTATATCTGCAATGTATAATCAATAATGACTTTATCTTCATGAGTAAATATGATTTGTACATTTAAAGAGAACTATTTTTTAATTTTGGTTCAACAATGGACAGAAGTACACAGGCAAGATGGCGTCTGTAAAGTTCAGTTTAACAGCTGGTGTGTCATACTAAGTTTTCTTATTTAACCCATCAATACATATCAATTCATAAAGCATCTATTACAAAAACAGCTCAAATCAATGTGGGTTAACAGCAGGTTTGAAAAATACATGATTGTTATAGGGTGTGCTTTTTTTTTTTACATTTAAATGTGAAAAATTCAAATGTAAACAAACAACAAGAGAATATTGCATCAAAGGAACAATTCCGTGATGACATCATTATGACATCATCATGGCTTTCATCTCGTGTTACTAACTGGAAGTAGAGCAGCTGTCCAGGGTATCGTTTGAACCTTTCAGCGAGTAGCTACACTTAAAGAAAGAGACAATCGAAATCTTTTAGCAGCGGAACTCTGAGACTACAAACAGTCAAAGACAATGCAGCGACCAACAAACCGACCCAGGATTAACAGGCCCTTCTACTTGAGGGACAGAGAGATGGAGACACTCCGCAGGACTGTGGCTCAGCTCACTGGACAGCTGGAGAGTGAGAAGAACCGAACACTCTTGCTCAGCCAGGAGTTGGAGGTGACTCAACAGAGGCTCACTGGACAGCTGGAGAGAGAGAAGAACCGAACACTCTTGCTCAGCCAGGAGTTGGAGGTGATTCATCAGAAGCTGACCAGGCAAAGGGCTCTCAAGGAAGTGTACATTAACAAAGGGAAGGAGCTCAAAAAGGAGCTGCAGATGCTTCAAAAGTACAGCTCAGAGGAGACCCTCTCCAAACACAGAATTGCTCTTAAGGTGAGGGACACGAGCCGGCAGAAGAAGAAGAAGGATCTTCATGTCGATTACGAGGAGCTGAAGGTGGCACATATTGTGGAAAATGAGAGGCTCACAACACAAGTCCAGGAACTGACTGAAAGAAACACGGTCCTCCATGAAGAACAGGAGAAGACAAGAACCTCATACCAAGCACTGAAATTCCAGTATGCAACTGATCTCACTGCTGCGAAACAGGAAGTTGAGACCCTTCAGCGTGAGCTGCAAAATCAGGCTCACCATGATGGACTCTTACAGGAACAGACCATCCAGATCCTGAGAGCCGAACAGGACTCCATGACGGAGAAGATTGCTGTTCTGCAGCAGGCAGCTTTTGAAACAGAGAGGAGGCACTGGGCTGAGCTGGAGGAGCTGAAACAACAGCTCTACATCCAGACAGCCGGTATGATGGACAACAAGGAGCTTAAAGTGGCCCAAGAAACCAGCTTTAACAATGAAAAAAACAAAAAAACAAATGAACTCTCAACTGAGCTTCAACTTCGAGAGACAGGCATCAGGCAAAGTGAGATGACGCTTCAGGAGCAGGACTTCATGGACATGGACATCGAGCAGTTTTGCATGGAGTTGGAGAAAACTGCAGAAACTTCTGGAGCTGAAGAACTGGCAGGAGCTTTAGAAATCGAAGTGACTGCTGGATCTCCAGAACTAGTTGGAACAGCAGGACCAGCAGAGACACCAACCTCTAATGCCACCAAACCACCTTCTTCAGTCTGGAAACAAACAAGACACTTCTTGGGGTTAAGAAAGCCTGAGAAGTGGAAGAAGAAGTAACTTCCTCGAAGTACGGAAGTACTTTAAAAAAAAAAAAAAAACTCTTCAAAAAGAGATCTCAAAAAAAATAAATAAATAAAGAAAACCAAAAAAAAAAAAAAATCAATCAATCAATCAACTTTATTTCTATAGCACATTTAAAAGAACCACAAGGGTAGCCAAAGTGCTGTACAGTGACACATAAAAACAAATAAAACAATCAAAGAACAAGATAAAGCAAGCAGAAATACAGTAATGCAAAAGAATAAATAAGTGTTTAAATAAGGAGGCTCACGGCAAATGCTAAGATGATAAAAAACAAATTAACACTACAATGTACTAAAAGCCAATGAGTAAAAGTACGTTTTTAAAAGGGATTTAAAAACAGAAAATGAGGAGGCCTGTCTAATTTTCAAGGGCAACTCATTCCAGAGCTTAGGGGCAGCAGCGGCAAATGCTCTGTCCCCTCTGAGCTTCAGCCTTGTACTGGGGACGGTCAGTAAAAGCTGATCAGCTGATCTTAGGGGTCGGGGTGGGCAATAAGGCTGTAGCATCTCCGAAATATAGGGTGGAGCAAGGTTGTTCAGGCCCTTAAAAACAAATGCTAAAAGCTTAAAATGAATTCTGTACTGAACAGGGAGCCAGTGTAAGGACGCCAGGATGGGGGTGATGTGCTCACGCCTGCGGGTCTGTGTCAGGAGACGTGCAGCAGAGTTCTGCATAAGCTGCAGGCGGGCAAGGGAAGCCTGGCTAATCCCTACGTACAAGGAGTTGCAGTAATCAAGACGGGTAGTGATAAAAGCATGGATTAATTTTTCCAGGTCAGGTCTTGATAAAATGGGCTTCACCTTCGCTATTTGGCGTAGCTGATAAAAACTTTTTTGTACCACCCCGCTGATCTGCTTGTCAAATTTAAAATCAGGGTCAAATTTAACTCCCAGATTAGTGACGACCTCTTTAAGGTAGGGTGAGAGGGAGCCTAGGTCGAAAACCCTTAAAACAGGCAGAAAAAAGAGAAAACTAAAAAAAAGAAAAAGAAGAGTATTTCTGAAAACAAAAAAAAAAACAACAACAAAAAAACACCCTAAGAAAACTAAAAAACAAAAAAGAAATATTTCTGATTCTTGGGGTTAAGAAAGCCTGAGAAGTGGAAGAAGTAACTTCCCCGAAGTAAGGAAGTACTTAAAAAAAAAAAACTCTTCAAAAAGAAATCTCCAAAAACAAAAATAAATTAAGACAACTGATGAAAAAACAAAAAAGAAAAAAAAACATCAACATGGGAAAAAAAAAAAAAATTCTAAAAAAAAAAAAAAAAAAAACTACTGGAAAGAAAATTAAAAAACAACAAACAAAAGCACCCATAACCCGGTGTTTTTCACACAAAAAATAAAATAAACCTTGCGGTTTTCCGTCCCATGGGAGGGTTTTTATCCCCCTCCTCGAGCTACCACCTTACCGTGGTGGAGGGGTTTGTGTGTCCCAATGAGAGTTAATTCTGATTTACTCTTGCTGTTGTCAAAAAGTGCTAAAATTTCTCTGCATTTCGCATGTTAAGTAGGCCCATGTCAGTTTTAATCCTTGCAGGACTCTTGTTTTCACTTTTCATCAGCAGAGGAAAAGCTTTTGGATAACTGATTAATATAGAGTTCAGGGGAAAGTATATCTGCAATGTATAATCAATAATGACTTTATCTTCATGAGTAAATATGATTTGTACATTTAAAGAGAACTATTTTTTAATTTTGGTTCAACAATGGACAGAAGTAGACAGGCAAGATGGCGTCTGTAAAGTTCAGTTTAACAGCTGGTGTGTCATACTAAGTTTTCTTATTTAACCCATCAATACATATCAATTCATAAAGCATCTATTACAAAAACAGCTCAAATCAATGTGGGTTAACAGCAGGTTTGAAAAATACATGATTGTTATAGGGTGTGCTTTTTTTTTACATTTAAATGTGAAAAATTCAAATGTAAACAAACAACAAGAGAATATTGCATCAAAGGAACAATTCCGTGATGACATCATTATGACATCATCACGGCTTTCATCTCGTGTTACTAACTGGAAGTAGAGCAGCTGTCCAGGGTATCGTTTGAACCTTTCAGCGAGTAGCTACACTTAATGTAAAGATTATTAAATTTAGACACAACCAAGGCTATTTCTGCTGCTGTTCAGGTGCCTCTACTATACTAATAATCATTAGTATTAAATTATTTAAAATTATTTAAAAATACGACTCTGCAGTGGCTGTCATGGCAACTGAATCAACTGTTTAGTTTTAAAAAACTGAAGTTGGATATTTCAAAGTGAAACATAGACCTACTGGTAAAAACGTGGAAGAAAGCGAAAAGCAAAGATGGAAAACATGTCAGAGGAAACCCACGGCGAAATGACGGATCCACAGCACGTCCACCTAAGGTAAGGAGAAAAAAAACGGTTCAAGGGGTCCCTGTGTGAAGGTGTTTCTATAAAACCGCGCCTCAACCTTTTTCTTTCTGCTCCTTTTCATTCACATGAAAATTTTTCCTTGTTTGTATTGAATGTGTCATATACTAACAGACTGAAATAAAGTATGTACACAGCGCCCTAACTTTATTGAAATGAAGTCATGTGTTTGGAGGTTAAGGCTCTGTTTGTGTAGATACCAACAGTTTGGGTCGGGTCAGAACTGCTGACATTCATACAGCTCATTCAGACGACTCAGAGAATGAGAGTATTTGGAATTTTCCAATATTTATCATGTCTCAGATTTGTGCACATCAGTTTGTGAATGACAGATATTGTATAGAAAGACTTAGCTTTCAGACCCTTTACAACAAGATCTTCAGTGCTTCTCATCTTTTTCTTTTAGCTTCCCATCTGAAAGCTCTGTGGAGGAAATGGCTCAAGACAGACCAGATCAAGATGAGACAGAGAAAACGGAGATTGATAACAGCATCATACAGAGACTTCAAGACAGACCAGATCAAGATGAGACAGAGAAAAAGGAGATTGATAACAGCATCATACAGAGACTTCAAGACAGACCAGATCAAGATGAGACAGAGAAAACGGAGATTGATAAGAGCATCATACAGAGACTTCAAGACAGACCAGATCAAGATGAGACAGAGAAAAAGGAGATTGATAACCGCATCATACAGAGACTTCAATCTGGCTGGATAGGCACTCTTCATGTCGTTTTCCTGGTGCTGCTTTTAGTCCTAATCACTGTCATTGTTGGCCTGAGCATCAATGTTAAGCAGTTACAGAAAGAAAGGAGTCAGCTGAGACAGCTTCTAGAATCAACACACATGGGACTGAACCACACCATGGAAGTAAATCAAAAAGTGAGCCAGAGTCTGAACTTCACCGTGGAAGAAAATCAAAAACTGAGGCTGAGTCTGAACTACACCATGGAGGAGAATCTGAACCTGAGCCAGAGTCTGAACAACACCATGGAAGAAAATCAGAAATTGAGCAGAAGACTAAACTACACCATGGAAGAGAATCTGAATCTGAGCCAAAGATTAAACCACACCAAGGAAGAAAATCAAAAACTGAGGCTGAGTCTGAACTACACCATGGAAGAGAATCTGAACCTGAGCCTGAGTCTGAACAGCACCAAGGAAGAAAATCAAAAACTGAGGCTGAGTCTGAACTACACCATGGAAGAGAATCTGAACCTGAGCCTGAGTCTGAACAGCACCAAGGAAGAAAATCAAAAACTGAGCCTGAGTCTGAGCTACTCCATGGAAGAAAATCAGAGACTGAGCCGAAGACTAAACCACACCATGGCAGAAAAGTCACAGCTTCAAGTGCAGATTGAGGAGATGAAAATCATATTGAATTCTACTATGGAAAACCGTGACTCTTTCAGAAAAGACAAAATCAAATATCAACAGCTTTTGATCAATGAAAGGCAGACCTCAACTCAACTAAAAGCTGAAAATCAACGTCAACAATCAATTCTGATGTCGGAGAAACTATCTTTCCTCTGGAGATTCTGTGATAAAGGCACCCTGCAATGTTCACGCTGCCTTCCTGGTTGGGCTGAGCACGCCACACGCTGCTTCCATTTGGCATCACAACCAATGAAGTGGGAAGATGCTCGTAGGGAGTGTTTTAATGAAGGTGCTGACCTGGCTGTTGTCTTGAATGCTGCAGACCAGGCATTTCTGACCAACATGACTTTCCAGTTTACACAGCAGCATCCAAATGTACTGTTCCATTCAGCATGGATCGGGTTGCAGGACATGGTGCAGGATAACAGATTTGTGTGGGTAAATGGTATCAAGTCCAAGTCAGATTTGAAGTTCTGGATGCCTGGAGAGCCAAACAATGCTGCGGCTCAATGGGACAAAGACCGTGCAGGACAGGACTGTGTTGTCATTGTCCCTCCAAAGACTGTTGGACAGAAAGGCTGGCTGAACTCCTGGGATGATATTGTCTGTCGAGGCCAGCGGCACTACATTTGTGAAACCAAAGCTCTTATTTTGTCTGGAGTGAAAACTGAGGAATGATGAGTTTATAACAATTTAGAATAAGTATGAATTAATGTGAAATAAATGTTCTTTATTTTGATAATGATATGGTATTATTATTTGGATTTTAATGTGGCCTATATAATAGACTGTTTTTTGTTCTTTTTTTAGTCAGATCTATCTATCTATCTATCTATCTATCTATCTATCTATCTATCTATCAGAATGGAGATGACATGGATTAAGGTGAAGTCAGTTGCAAGTTCAACATTTGTTAAAAAAAAAAAAAGAACAATATGACTGGAATGAGCGTTTAATCAAATAAATGTGAACAGAAACATTTTTAGGGCAGAAAAACATTATCACGAGACTTTTGGATTTCTGTCCTGCAGTTATGGAAGAATATGAGGTAACACCGGGAAATAAACCTCTGTTCATCCCATGGTGGAGAAATTTATATTAATTTATATAATAAGGCATTGTTATGGATTTAAGACAGCTATTTTTGTCAGAATTGATATTGAATGGTAGCAGAGTACAGGAACAATAGAAACCTTGTCATATTGAAAAGTGTTTGCAGTTATTTGGGACAGGTAAAAATGTGTGATCTTTCAAAACACAAACTCATTTTTTAGCGAAGAGAGGGTCATACTTTTTGCTCTTTTGAAAAGGACTGAATCCAATTTGAACTCCTTAGCTGGCAGGCTGACACTACTCTGGCCTTCCAAGGGAGGGCAGCATCTCCCCTTCAGCTGTTTCATCACAGCTGTAGTTATTCACATTTCCACCATTTGACTTTCAGTTTCGCTCAACATAACGTTTTCAGCAAAAATAAAAAATAAAAAAAGAGGGCATATATTCTTACTCTACACTCATAGATAGTATATATATATATAGGCCTACAGTCTATGGCAGTGGTTCTCAACTGGTCTCACTCTGGGACCCACACTTTTTTATGGTCCTTATGTGGCAACCCACTTTTATAAAATTCAAACCAGGCAAATTAATTTTTTATAAAAAACGAACCTTTACAGACTCAAATCTTTGACATAAATACTCCTATTTTGTTGAATAAAGTGCATTTCAGAGCACATGAACTGAGGGCGACAACTACTTAAGTTTCGTATACAGAAAATATCAAATATCAAATTGCACACAATGGAGACAAGCAAAATGAAACATTTGACTTATTTGCATCTCTGCGTTCAGAGCATATTCAGAAGAACACGAGGAGGACCGAGCAACAGCATTGACAAAAGTGAATAAATATCAAATTGCACAAAATAAAGACCATGAAAAACATGTAATTTTACTGCATTCAGGCCACATTAATAAGAAACCGAGGAGGACCATGACATGATGCGTGCCTTTCAAAATAAGCTATTTTTCAAAATAAAAAAACATGTCAAACATCAGATGCGTATTAAATATTTACTTTTTTGATCAGCTGTTCACGACCCATCCAGAACGTGTCTGGGACCCACTTTTGGGTCGGGACCCACCAGTTGAGAACCACTGTTCTATGGTTACGCCACACAATCTCATTCAGTTTACAGTACATGCTGAAGTCCCGCCCATACCGGAACAGGATTGGTCCCCTCTGCTGTTGGCGCTTCCCATCAGCTTCTATGATTGGATATATTCATTTTGGACGGCGGCTGTTACGTCATTATTTCCAACCGTGTAAGGTGTTAAATTTCAAATCTACTCATTGTGGCTGGAGCATGGTGCTGGTGCAGGTAATGCTCTGTCATTTCACTGAAAAATGCGAGATTGTTATCCTAAATAAACACGAACCAACCAAAGAAAAGGAAAGAACCACCACACGAAGCATTGCGACTTAATCATCAGGCAGGTTGAATTTTACACCCCTCTCACCCCCTAAATAAGAGACCATATTCATCTGCTGTTTCGTCTCCTTTAATCGCTTTTCATCAGGATGTCGGTACTCTCGTTAGTGCTACTGCTGCTATACCAACATACAGCAACTGTCTCAAATGGTTTGTTTTGATTTTCCTTTCTGTTCAGAACTTCGCCTATTTATTTGTATAACTTTTATTTTTTGCTGTGTTTTGTTTGCACCTGATAGGAATGCCTCCCATTTCATTGTACATTTACAATAACAATATCAAGATATTCTACCCTAGTGTATTCTATTTGACCTGGCACTAGACCTCTTATTTTGTCGACTTTCAGTTTCCGTTCCCCACTCCATTACCCACGCAGAAAGTGTTTCCTCTGCCCGACCTTTCTCCTACAGGTGGCGATCACTTCAAGCTGATCATCCAGACTTTTTAAATTAATATTTCTTTTCCCCCTTTCTTTCTTGCTACTGAAAACTCCAATAAATCTGACAATTACTCTGAGGAGAGGATCTGGGTTTCAGGGTGGAGAATACACCGGTTGCAGGACAGTGCGCGAGACGGTGAAGCATGGGCTGGAAATGTCAAATTTATTGCGGTTTACAAAAGCTCTACAACATCCGGTTTAGCTGTCAAAATAAACCTGGGATAATAAAGGTTTGGGGGGGGGAAACGCAAATATCATTTCCAGAGTAACATGTGGTCATAGGTTTACACAGGTTCAAGTACATATCTTGAACTTTTTTAAAGATAAGTCTATCTATCTATCTATCTATCTATCTATCTATCTATCTATCTATCTATCTATCTATCTCTTAAACTTTTCTAAAGATCCATATTCATGTCCTGTGCACAGCATTATCAGTCCTTGTAGCTTGCAGGTGATGGTAGGAGCCACAGAGGGGACTGAATACCTCCTTTTTTCAACCCTGGTACCATCCTTTAAGCCTTTTAACAACAACAATAATAGTAATAATAAGAATAATAATAATAATAAACTTTATTTGTATGGCACTTTTCTTGAACAGTTGTCACAAAGTGCTTTATAGTCATCAAAATAAAAAGGGTCAGACAACAAGACATAAACCTCAACAAAAAGTACACTTGCAGCCAAAGTCCCGGGGCCTATTCTACGAAGCAGGATTACTGCTTAGCAAGGTAACTTCGAGGGTAAGTTCGGGGTTTCCTGTTCTACGACACGGGTTCACTTCTTAGCGAGGTGAGTCTCCATGGCAACGTACGCTGAACGGCTAACCTGCTCTGGGGCAGGTTAGGTTCCAGATTGAACTCACCGAGTATAAAAACCCCACCCACTGACCAATGAGCTCTCTCAAAAAATGGCTTGTCTGTTCTTGGAGGATCCTATAGACCTTGGTGCTGGCATTGTTCGAGGAGCACTCCGGCGCGCGAGAGTTTTCAGGGACTGCATGGACCCACTTACTTTTCTGGATGACCACCTTTATGAAAGGCTCAAAAAATGTAAACATGATAGGAATGAACAAATGAATGAATTCATCTTGGAAATAAATTAGACATGTCTGGTGCATGTTAAAAGCGCATGTTGAACAGTGCTATTTCAGGGTTATAATGGCATCAAAGATTTTTTGCGCATTATATTTACGCATTGAGACTGTCTGCAATTTTCTGCGGTCTTTCGCTCTCTGGCCGGCTCTGACGCTCCAGACTGGTCCATGTTCGCGATCGGTCCGATGCGACGGGCTCTGCCTTACCTGCGTGCACGCGCTCATAGCAAAGCTGGATCCACTTACGAGGTTGATAACCAGTGTCGTAAGACCGTTTAGCGAGACCGCTGGCTACCGCGTTAAGTTCAGCGAGGTAGCTCCAAGGCTACCTCGCTAGGTCAAACTTGCTTCGTAGAACAGGCCCCTGGTCATACCAAAGCGATTGTAAACAAATGGGTTTTCAACAGCTTTTTGAAAATATACACAGTGTCCACAAGTTCCCTTTTAGAGCTAAAACTAATCTACAAAAGCTTTTTATAGGCCCTAAAGAGGAATAATGTACTACCTTCCCAAAAATTTACTTTGGAATATGATGCAGAGAAAATATACTTCTTGGATTGACCTACTTCCCATTCCTTCCTCTCTTGATGTTGTAAGTGGACTGGTTGTTATTCTTATACATAATATACTCTTACCGTGAGGCTTTGTGTATCATTACTGAACAAATGCACATTGTATCCTCCTTATTGAATGATTATTGATTTAATCTAAGTTTTTTTTTTTTTTTCCTTTGCTTACAAGTGATTTAACGAGAAGGCCAAAGCTGTCTCTCTTCCTCCTCAGCAACCACCTTCCTCTTCATTAAAGGGTCTATAGGTCTCTTTGGTGGTATTTTTGTAAAGATGCTGTTATTTCAAACTAGCATGCTTTGTATCCAATGTTTTATTCTGTGTTGTTCTAGATGAAATGAGGATTTGCAGTAAATGGACACGAAGAGAGCTCCACAGGCTACTGTCTGCTGCTGACTGGATTTAGTGCCGCTGCATTTAAAAGCATCTGTGCAGTGGATCGTGTAGCATCCTGATGAAGTTATTCAGCTCTTCTGTTGAATCACCTCCTTTTCTGTCGTGAATTCACATGAAATGTCTTCCATATGGATTTCATTTTCAGTACAGGACTTTCTTGCACAGACCAGCCCACTTTAGTCCACAACCTTTTAGAATGTTATGGTATATAAATCTGAAACAGAGCACTATATTTCCACAATTTTGTTTTGTTTTAGTGTAATTCATCAAAAATCACATTCACACGACAATTACGGGTACAAGTTTACAGCTATCATTTTACAAATGTAAGAACATCACACATTTGTCTTACTAAAAAAATGTGAAAACCCATGACAAGTCATTATTGGGAAAATGTAAATGAAGACTTAGAGATCCTTGGTCATACACATAGACTGTATATATTATGGACAACTTGGTTCCGCCTCCCGCCAGTATACGGATTTGAAGCCAAAAAGCTCTCGGTAATTCCACATTTTTTCTCCACTTCCTGAAACCAACATTGCACAGTAGTGTTGTACGCACTCCACCACTTGCGCAGTAGTGTTGTACGCATTCGGCGGGAGAGTCACCGAGAGTGGCTGTGATGACGCTCGGCTCAAACAGCGTATCCCCACAGGTGTATCTTCGTACACCCATAGGCTGTATCA